CACATTATCTCTGTTCTTGTGAGTTCACTGTCTTGAGTGTTTGATTTTTAGTTATATTTTATAGGAATTGTGCATTTTTGTATATGTAGAGAAGCACTTTTTTTCACTTACATTATTTCACTATTTAGCCTACTGAGACATGGGTTGTGTGCACTAGCTGCTACAGCATTTATATTATACCTATTTACTTATTGATTAATTTATATTGTGTATTCACCATAGTAAGAGCTTGAGTTATATTTATCATTTTTATTTAACACTTGAAAAAAGGGAGGTGCAAAAAGGCATGGAAAGCCAAGGCACCAACTGAAATCTATCAGTGATTAGAAAGCAATCCTGCCCCTTGTCAGTGCAAATTAATATCAACTGTTTCAGTCTCAACTGATGGGCTATAAAAAGGTGTCTCATTACCAAGGTGCCACACGAGAAATACCTCCTGACAGGTAAAAGCAAAGAGCTCTCTTAAGACCTTTGTAACCTTATTGTTTCAAAACACACTGATGGCATTGGTTGCAGAAGGATTTCTAAACTTCTGAATGTTCCAGTGAGCACTGTTGGGGCCATAATACAGAAGTGGAAAGAACATTTCATATTAAACTGGTCATAACCAGGTGCTCCTTGCAAGATTTCTGACAGAGGAGTGAAAAGAATTATCAGAAGAGTTGTCCAGGAGCCAAGTACTACTTGTGGAGAGCTTCACAAAGACCTGAAATTAGCAGATACAATTGTTTCAAAGAAAACAATTAGAAATGCACTCAACCGACATGGCCTGTATGCTCGTTCACCATTCAAGACTTCAATGCTGAAGAAAAAACATGTTGAAGCTCATTTAAAGTTTGCTGCACAACATTTAGGCAAGCCTGTGAAATACTGGGAGAATATAGTCTGGTCAGGTGAGACCAAAATTGAACTCTTTGGATGCCATAAGTCAAATGGCACTGCACCCCAAAAACATTATACCAACAGTGAATTTTGTAGGTGGGAGCACCATGGTGTGGGGCTATTTTTCAGCATACAGTACTGGCAAACTTCATGTCATTGAAGGAAGAATGAATGGAAAAATGTACCAAGATATTCTTGATAAAATTCTACTGCCATCTACCAGAACGATGAAGATGAAACTAAGGTGGAAATTTCAGCAAGACAATGATCCCAACAACAAAGCCAAGGCAGCTCTCAATTGGTTTCAGAGAAAGAAAATACAGTCAGGTCCATAAATATTGGGACATCTACACAATTCTAACATTTTTGGCTCTATACACCACCACAATGGATTTGAAATGAAATGACCAAGATGTGCTTTAACTGCAGACTGTCAGCTTTAATTTGAGGGTATTTACATCCAAATCAAGTGAACGGTGTAGGAATTACAACAGTTTGCATATGTGCCTCCCACTTGTTAAGGGACCAAAAATAATGGGACAGAATAAAGATAATATAATCATAAATCAAACTTTCACTTTTTAATACTTGGTTGCAAATCCTTTGCAGTCAATTACAGCCTGAAGTCTGGAACGCATAGACATCACCAGACGCTGGGTTTTCATCCCTGGTGATGCTCTGCCAGGCCTCTACTGCAACTGTCTTCAGTTCCTGCTTGTTCTTGGGGCATTTTCCCTTCAGTTTAGTCTTCAGCAAGTGAAATGCATGCTCAATCGGATTCAGGTCAGGTGATTGACTTGGCCATTGCATAATATTCCACTTCTTTCCCTTAAAAACTCTTTGGTTGCTTTTGCAGTATGCTTTGGGTCATTGTCCATCTGCACTGTGAAGTGGTGTCCAATGAGTTCTGAAGCATTTGGCTGAATATGAGCAGATAATATTGCCCGAAACACTTCAGAATTCATCCTGCTGCTTTTGTCAGCAGTCACATCATCAATAAATACAAAAGAACCAGTTCCATTGGCAGCCATACATGCCCACACCATGACACTACCACCACCACCATGCTTCACTGATGAGGTGGTATGCTTAGGATCATGAGCAGTTCCTTTCCTTCTCCATACTCTTCTCTTCCCATCACTCTGGTACAAGTTGATCTTGGTCTCATCTGTCCATAGGATGTTGTTCCAGAACTGTGAAGGCTTTTTTAGATGTCGTTTGGCAAACTCTAATCTGGCCTTCCTGTTTTGAAGCTCACCAATGGTTTACATCTTGTGGTGAACCCTCTGTATTCACTCTGGTGAAGTCTTCTCTTGATTGTTGACTTTGACACACATACGCCTACCTCCTGGAGAGTGTTCTTGATCTGGCCAACTGTTGTGAAGGGTGTTTTCTTCACCAGGGAAAGAATTCTTCTGTCATCCACCACAGTTGTTTTCCGTGGTCTTCCAGGTCTTTTGGTGTTGCTGAGCTCACTGGTGCGTTCCTTCTTTTTAAGAATGTTCCAAACAGTTGTTTTGGCCACGCCTAATGTTTTTGCTATCTCTCTGATGGGTTTGTTTTGTTTTTTCAGCCTAATGATGGCTTGCTTCACTGATGGTAACAGCTCTTTGGATCTCATCTTGAGAGTTGACAGCAACAGATTCCAAATGCAAATAGCACACTTGAAATTAACTCTGGACCTTTTATCTGCTCATTGTAATTGGGATAATGAGGGAATAACACACACCTGGCCATGGAACAACTGAGAAGCCAATTGTCCCATTACTTTTGGTCCCTTAACAAGTGGGAGGCACATATGCAAACTGTTGTAATTCCTACACCGTTCACCTGATATGGATGTAAATACCCTCAAATTAAAGCTGAGAGTCTGCAGTTAAAGCACATCTTGTTCATTTCATTTACAATCTATTGTGGTGGTGTATAGAGCCAAAAATGTTAGAATTGTGTCGATGTCCCAATATTTATGGACCTGACTGTAAATCTGCCAAAATGGCTCAGCCAATCACCTGACTTCAATCCATTTGAAAATCTATGGAAAGAACTAAAGATCAAAGTTTCATAGAAGAGGCCCATGGAATCTTCAAGATTTAAATACTTTGTGTGGAAGAATGGGCCAAAATCACACCTGAACAATGCATGCAACTAGTTTCTAGATACAAGAGCTGTCTTGAAGCTGTCATTACCAACAAAGGATTTTGTACGATGTATTAACAAAGTAATTTTATTACACATAACTCAATTTCTCAATTAATTTGTTTTGTTTTTTATTGTATGTATTTATTGCATGGGTTGTTAAGAAAAATGGTGACATGTTCAATACTTATTTTACCTGCTGTATTTGAAAATTGATCAGTGGAGACCCTAAAATTCCAGACACTGGTATGACATGGTATGGGGTATGGCAGTGATCAGGACATTGGCATGAGGTATGGCAGTGATCAGGACGCTGGTATGGCAGTGATCAGGACACTAGTATGGCATATGGGGTGATCAGTACGCTGGTATGGGGTATGGTGATGATCAGGATGCTGGTATGGTGTACGGCAGTGATCAGGACACTGGTATGGCAGTGGTCAAGATGCTGGTATGGCATATGAAGAGATCAGAACACTTGTGTGAGAAATGGAGCCACCATATTGCTGGTATGGGGTATGGCAGTGATCAGAGCGTTGGTATGGTGTATGGCGGTGGTCAGCAACTGGTATGGCATATTGCAGTAATCAGGGTGCTGGTATGGCATATGGCAGTGATCATGGTGCTGGTAAGGAATACAGCGGTGATCAGGGTGTTGGTAAGGCGTATGGTGGTGATCAGGGTGCTTGTATGGAATATAACGGTGGTCAGGATACTGTTAGGGTGGAGATCAGGACATTGGTATGGTGGCATTGGTTTGGCGGTGTTATTGTGAGCACTGGGACAGGTGACGGGCTGGCTGCACACTTTATTGTTCCTACACTATGGCAGTGATCAGGGACACTGGGGCAAGCTGGCACCCATACACAGTGGTAATGTGATTCATGGCATTCAGGCGACTTGCAGAATGCTGATCTCCTGGGTGCATGCTCTGTAAACCATGCAGGAGTCACCAATGCGGGCTAACGTACAAGTATTCCACATCGGCACAGCTTCTCATCCACCGTGTATATGCTATGGATGAACTGGAAGATGTTAAACATAGTGGTACCACTCATCTACATTGCGATTCAGATAACTTAATAAGCTCAAGCCCTGAGGTACTAGCTCTTGGCCAAGACCCTGATGATGTCATCTAGTGATGAAATGTATATCATCACACATAATGGCCCTTGGCCAATGAGCTTGAGCATGTTCACCTATCTGGATCTCAATGTAGATCAGTGCTGCCAATACTTTCTATAATTGAGAGTGTGCGCTTTTATATTTTAATAAAATAGTTTGTTTAATATACTACTCTATGGAAAATGGTCTTAATGAGGGCCACCGACATGGGCTTGTGGCTGCAGTCCCCCATTAAGTTTTTTTAATTTACTTATCATTATGTCAGCTCAGGTGTGCTGGGGCCATTGCCCCTTTAAGAATTTACCTTACCTGTTCAGGTAACATTTATTGGTTGGATCCCATCACATGCTTTTTCCAGAACCTTTTCCATGGTCTGGGAATAGGGTACTAACCACTTGCCTACATAACACTTTTACCCCCTTCATGCCCAGGCCAATTTTCAGCTTCCAGTGCTGTTGCACTTTGAATGACAATTGCGCGGTCATGCAACACTGTACCCATATTACATTTTTATAATTTTTTCACACAAATAGAGATTTCTTTTGGTGGTAGTTAATGGCCACTGGGTGTTTTATTTTTTGCACTATAAACAAAAAAATAGAGCAAAAAATTAAAAAAAAAGTTTTTCTTTGTTTCTATTATAAAATTTTGCAAACAGGTAATTTTTCTTGTTCGCTGATGTGCGTTGATCAGGCTGCACTGACAGGCAGGACTAATGAGGTGGCACGGATAGGCAGCACTGATGGGCACTGATAGGCTGCACTGATGAGGTGGCACTTATGAGGCAGCACTGGTGGGCATTGATGAGGAGGCATTGAAGATGCTACACTGATATGATGGTCACTGATAAGCAGCACATAACATTTTGCAAACAGGTAATTTTTCTCCTTCACTGATGTGCGTTGATGAGGCTGCACTGATAGGCAGCACTGATGGGCACTGATGAGGTGGCATGAATAGGCAGCACTGATGGGCACTGATAGGTGGCACTGATGAGGCGACACTGATGATGCTGCACTGATATACAGCAAGGATGGGCACTTATAGGCGCCACTGATAGGCGTCACTGATGGGTGACACTGATGGGCGGTGCTGACTGGTGGCACTGACTGACAACACTGACTGGCAGCACTGACTGACGACACTTACTGGCGGCACTGATGGGCAGCATTGCTGGGCACTGATGGGTGGCACCGCTGAGCAGCACTGATGGGTGGCACTGATGGGGGGCACTGCTGGGCACTGATGGGTGGCACTGCTGGGCAATGATGGGAGGCACTGCTGGGCACTGGTCAGAGGCAGTGCTGGGCAATGGTGGGTGGCACTGCTGTGTCTTTGGCACTGATCATCAGGGCACTGATCATCAGTGCCCTGATGATCAGTGCCAATCTGTTGTCTGACAATTGCCAGTTATCGGCAGTACTTTCCTCACACTGTGACAGTTCTGCTGATTGACCTTTTACCACATCACGTGATCAGCTGTGTCCATAGGAAACAGAGATCACGGAGATCGCCAGGTATGTGCCGCGGGGGGTGCGCCAGAGGGCGCATTCTGGGAGGACGTCATACGACACCCTCCCAGAACTGGACAACCACGCTGTAGCCATCATGTACATAAAAACATGCACACATGTGCTCAAAACTGCTGACTATTGCTAAGAGTGTTATACAGTTAGTGCAGTATAAAACTATAACATCCTGGCCTTCATAGAAAGTAAATTGCCACAAAGAGGATTTGAATTCGCTCATTTGATATTCATGCAAATAACATCAGAAAATGCATAGGCTCTGCTATCGCAAAACTAAGAAGACCTAAATGTTTTAGCTGTCAATTCATTTTAAAAGATGCTCTATGAGGGGTGGTTTCAGGGTCTCTAAGGAAAATAACCACATCCAAATTTAGAAAGAAGATTTCTATTTTTTTTTCAATGGTCAATTAAAGTAAATATTGTAGCTGCACATTTCCAACTAGTTTGAAAGATAGCCAATGGCTCCCTGCTTTCTACGCAGACCTAGAAATATTTACCATAGACATGTATACAACATGAACATATATATATATATATATATATAACTGTATATATTTATAATGTAATATTGGTGTACAGGAGGATAAAATCTAGGAGCTACCATTACTGATTTGTTTGTACAGGTTCTAATTCTATTTTAAGCATTCTGATTCTGCCTGCACTAGCCAATCACCTACCCAGAACATATAAGTAGTACAAAAGTCTTTTTTGGACTTCACTAGCTGCACATTTATTTGTGTCAGTGACTCAGTAGGTAGTCAACAACAGCAGCTCTCTTATAAGTTCTCTTTAAAATAAACCTGTACTCCACTGTAAACCTTTAAAAATACAATTTCTGCATAAGAGCGGGCACTGAAATGTGCTATTACCTTTATTAGGCAGAAATAACATCTCCAGGTCTATTAATGGCAGTTGGAGGAGCTTAGCTATGAAGTCAGGGATTTAGGTCCCCATACAAAGCCACCCACAACTCTGCCCCAGGTACATCACTGACCTCCTCTCAAAATATCAAGCAAACCATTCTCTACTCTTTCTGCTTTTCATCACGTCCTCCCATGCTTGTGTCCTAGATTACTATTCTCCAAAGCCTCCCCCATCATCTGGAACTCCCTAATCCAACCTGTGTGACTATCCCTTACTCTCTGTGCCTTTTAGAGGATTCCTAAAAAGGAATCCTTCAGGCAAGTCTAGCCTGCCTCTATCTAACAACTGAATTTTACTTTCTCAAACAACTCATCCACATCTACTTTGTGTATCACTTACCCTTTACTTTAGAATGTAAGATCTCATGAATAGGACCCTGATAACCCTTCTGTCTTGACTTATATTATAATATACTGTCTCACTTTGTTTTTAAAGTACTTCCCAAACTGACGGCACTGTAAAAAATTCTGAATAATGAAAATAATTTATTAATAACAAAAATGAAATCAGAGAAGGGCACATAAGAATAGTTTCTGTGTAATGATAGGAGATAGGAGCAGGTATCTTGTGTTTATATAGAATTTTTACTTTTGAAAAGCACCCCTTGAAGGGTTAGTCCACCTAAAACAGATGTTTAATAATTTGTAGCAATGCTGGCAAGTTAAAGCACCTGCATATTTATTATGTCACTTTGTGTCCTTGTTGGTGAATGTTATTGATGGGCAAGTCTGTCCAGGTGTGCATTTCATTAAACAGTAATAGACTCATTTAACCAGCAGATAGCAATTGGCCAGCAGTCAGCTGTGGATGTGCCTGTTCGCACTTATGGAAAACTGTCCTGCTGCTGGCCAATTTCTATCAAACGTTCAGACTGCAGATGACACAGCTGTGCAAAACTGACCAGCCTCGGAAATACTTTTTTTAATATGGGAGAATTGGTCAAAATATACTAGCGAAAAAGACAAAATGTTTTGTTTTATTATCATAATTAAGGGGGGGGGGGGGAGAGGAAAAAAAGGGAGAAAGAAAAAAAGGCACCAAACACCAACAAACCACATAACATATAAGTGATGACTCCCATCTCACCGATCCACCCCAAAGGCTCCACTCCAAGAAAAGGGGAGATGGCCCAAAACGGCAGACCCGTACCACACCCCACCAGGCAGATAAGAGACACATTGGTCTTACATACCGTATCATCTGCAGAAAAATATAAATAGAAAGGATGCCAAGCTTATAACAAAAAGATTCTATTATGAAGGCTCTCAGACCACTATGGGGAAATGTGCATACTATTATTATATAGGATTTATATAGCGCCAACAGTTTGTGCAGTGCTTTACAAAATGAAGGCACCCATTACAGTTACAATACAATTTGGTACAAGAGGAATCAGAGGGCCCTGCTCATTGGAGCTTACAATCTAAGAAGGAGGGTCAAGTGATACAAAGGGTAATAGCTGTGGGGGATGACTTTGTAAGTTGTTGTTAGTACTTTGAATTTTATTTGTTGGGTGAGTGGAAGTTAGTGTACTGATTGGCAGAGAGGGGAGGCAGTCACTGAATGGTTGGCAAGGTGGATGATTCTGGCAGCAGCATTCATGATGGATGGAAGGGGGGATAGCCTATGTAAATGTAAGCCAAATGAGGAGGGAGTTGCAGTAGTCAAGGCAAGAGATAACCAGGGAGTGAATTAGAAGCTTTGTGGTGTCATTGGCTATAAAGAGGCTATTTTGGAGATATTGCAGAGGTTGAGGTGGCATGATTTGGATTGGATGCCGGCCTGAAAGGACAGTTCAGAATCCAGGGTTACACCAAGCACCCTGGCATGCGGGGACAGGTTGATTGTTGTGCCATTGATCTTTACCAAGAAATCAGGGGAAGGGGCCCGTGGGGGAGAAAATATTAAGAGCTCAGTTTTGGATAGATTGAATATGAGGCAGTGGTGTGACAACCGGTCTGATATGTCTGTTAGTAAATCAGTGATACCCCAATGGTAAGTGAAATAGGAGAGGAGGAAGTGGAGTTGTAAGGGACACTGAAGGTGCAGTGAGATAGGTAAGGTGCGAACCAACAGAGAGTACAGTCACGTAGAGCAAGGAAATTTAGTTTTTTGAGGAGGAGGGGGTGGTCAACTGTATCAAAGGCAGCAGAGAGGTCCAAGAGTATGAGTACAGAATAGTGACAGTTGGATTTAGCTGTTAGTAAATCTTTTGCGAGTTTTAGGGGAACAGTTTCTGTGGAGTGTTGCAGGCGAATTCCCAACTGATGCGGATCAAGTAGTTCATTCTCAATGAGGTGGCAGCTCTGCCGATTTGGAGTTTGGAGGCAAAAGGGAGTAAGGAGATGGGTCTTGGGTTGTTAAGATTGATGGGGTCCAGTGAGGCCTATATAAGTATTGGGGTGACTAGTGCGTGTTTTAGAGGGTTGTGGAAGATGCCAATAGAGAGATTGAAGATATGAGTTAAAGAGTGTAGGATAGAGCCAGAGGGTGACCGTAGTACAGATGGATATTGCTCGCAGATATTTGCCCTGTAGCATAGCAGTGTCAATTAGCAGTTATACATGGCAAGGAAATAGTAAAGATGGATAAGTACAGATGGATATTGCTTTACCTGTGAGGGGATAGAGAGGAGTCAGTCACACAATTTTACCCACAATATTAAAACTCAGGATGTCAATAAGGTTAATCTCCTATATTTTCTTCTTGGCCCAATCTCTAAAAAATAAGAAACAGGGATATACTAATACCATGAAATGAAGATAAACTGATAAAAAGACAGCTCATATCCACAAGACTGAAGAGACCACAGATGGCACAACAGTGTAAATTTGGCCAGCAGCAGAACAATTTTAAATAGCAAGGCTAGGCTCAAATATCCTAGAGACAGAGAGCACAAGCTTGGGATTTACTACAAGAATTAAGATATTCCAGAGGGCATGGCAGTGTAAAACAGACTGACAGCAGTATAGTTTTATTCAGAAATAATAAGCATTACAAGGTTCTGTTCTTTGACCTCTCCTATTCTTGATCTACACCTCCTCCTTGGGTCAGCTGATAGCCTTACATAGCTTTCAATACAATTTCCATGCTGATGACACCCAAATCTATCTCTCTATGACTCAGTGCAGTCCATTAGTCTCACTAATTTACTAACATATCAGTCTACATGTCAAACTACTTACTACTATCCAAAACCAAGCTCATAATATTTTATCCTCCACGTCCCCTTTCCCCTAACTTCTCTGTCAAGATCGAGGGCACAACAAATAACCCATCCCCACATGCCAGGGTGCTAGGTGTTATCCTATACTCCAAACTCTCCTTTCAGCCCCACATCCAATCACTGTCCAAATCTTTCCACCCCAACCTCCGCAACATCTCCAAAATACACCCCTTCCTAACCAATGACACTACAAGGCTTCTAATACTCTCCCTGGGTTATCTCTTGCCTCAAATACTGCAACTCCCTCCTCATTGAATTACCTTTACATAGCCTATACCCTCTTCAGCAGATCATGCATGGTGCTGCCAGACTCATCCACCTTACCAACCATTCAGTGTCTGCTACCCCTCCCTGGTTTTGTCTCACCCAATAAATTAAATTCAAAATACTAAGAATAACTTAAAAAGCCATCCAGAACTCTGCCCCCAGCTACATCACTAACCTAGTCTCAAAATACCAACCAAATTATTTTGTCATTCTTTCCAAGACCTTTTGTATCACTAGACCCTCCATTTTAGATTGTAAGCTCTAACAAGCAGGGTCTTTTGACTCCTCTTGTATTGAATTGTATTGTAACTATACTGTCTGCCCTCATGTTGTAAAGTTCTGCAC